TGGACCGGCCTGAATAGGCCTAAAAAAAATTCAAGCCAAGCCCGATCGGGTTGGAGCTTGGCCTGAATGCCCGAATAAAACAATTATATTTTTACAAAATATATAAAATATAATAAATATTAATTAATTTTTTAAATTTTAGATTATTTTATACTAAAATACCATATATTTGAGTCCTAGACATCATTTAAGTATTAAAAAAATATATTTTATATTTTTTTAAAATAAAATAATTAATTTTAAAGTAAAAAAATAATTAAAAATAATTTTAAAAATTAAATTCAGGTATTCAGGTCGCTCGAAGCCTGAAAAAATTCGAGCCGGGCTTGGCTATTCGGGCTTTTCAAAGAGTCGGGCCTGTTTGGGTTCAGGCCTGTTCGGCTCGAATAGGCCCAGCCCGCCCGAATTCCTAGCTCTACTTACAACCATTAGAGTAGTTAATGAATGCACTCTATCCGTGTAAGATTGATTCAATATTTTTTTAATGTAAGTTGATTGATAAAAAAAATTTATTTGCTAAGTGTTTGATTTATAAACCAAGGCAAAATTTTGTTCTTTCAAGATCTTTCATCTAAAATTTTTTTTAAGCAATCAACTACTTTTTAGAGCTCTTTTAGAGTTCTAACTATATTTAAGTCGTCTATATAGACATAATTATAACAAATTCTGACTCATTTCTCTTTATAAAGACACATGGAGGGAATGGATTGTTTTTATAACTTTCATTCAACAAATATTCACTGAGATGGTTATGCCACATTCTTTCATATTGTTTCAGTTTGTGCAAAGATTTATGCAAATGAATTATATATTTTTCTCGAGAATCTTTACATGCTTCTAGTAATTTGAATATAATCCTTTAAGGATTTTCATATAAATTTTTATTTCTAAAGGGTCATATAAATAGGATGTAACAACATCCATTAAGTGCCGTCAAGTTTTTCATGTACTATCAGACCAATTAAATATCTTAAAGTGATCGCAACTATCAGAGGAGAATATGTCTTTTCATAATCAATGCCATGTTTTTGTAAAAATTATTATGCTACTAATCGTGCTTTATATCTAGCAACTTCATTTTTCTCATTTTGTTTTTGTACAAATACCCATCTATATCCAACTGGCAATACATCATTAGGTATCTAGACTATAGGTCCAAAAACTTCATGTTTTGAAAGTGAACTTAACTCTATTTGGATTGTATCTTTCCATTTGACCAATCAATTCTACATCTACAGCCTTCAATTGATTTCAGTTCTAGATCCTCATTTTGATTCATTATTTTCACAACATTATATGAAAATATGTCATTAATGACCATATTTTTTTCGATTCCATCTTTTTCTTATAGTGACATAACTTATCAAGATCTCTTCATTATCTTTAGATATCTGGACCTCTTCTAAGGTCTTTTGATTAGTTATGTATTTGTACTCTTTTAGAGTACCAACCTCCTCAACTATACCATCTTTATTTTGTACTCCTTTCATCTTTTTGGAATTTTATCTTTGTAACTAATTGGTCTACCTTGCTTTAAACATAGCTTAAATTCATTTGCACTTTCTAATTGTCCTACTGGAACTTAATTCTAATAGGAACATTTTTAGCTGAAATATGAAACTTGGTAATTCTTTTAAGGTCAATAAATGTATATGGAAATTCATTTGCAATATTTTGTAAATGATTTTTTTAACTTTAAGTTCACATTGTTTTATATAAGGGTTTAGATGAGATAGATATAATACATTCCATGTAATTTCTTTGTCAAGCTACTTATTTTCTCTCTCCAATGTTGGAAAAATGGTTTCATCAAAATGGCAATTATCAAAACATGCCGTGAATAAATCTCCAATCAATGGTTTTATATGCGTGATTATAGAGGGAGATTCAAAACCAACATATATTCTCAACATTCTTTAAGGTCCCATCTTTGTGCATTGTGGTGGAGTAATAGGAACAAACACTGCACATCCAAAAATTCTAAGGTGAAAAATATTTGGCTTCTGACTAAAAGCCAATTGTAATAAAAAAATTTATAATAATTTATTAGCCTAATAAACACAAGTGTTGTTGCATGTAAAATCACATGTCCCTATGTTGAAATAGGAAATTTTGTCCTCAGGAGCATTATGTCAGTCTAGTCATCAATTGAAGGCATATGAATAATTTTGCTAGACCATTTTAAGTGTGAACATGTGCATAGATTTTTTAATTATTATTCTAGTTGATATGCAATAATTATCAAAAATTTATCATGAAAATTCACTAACATTATTAAGATGAATCATCTTAATTGCATAATCTAAAAATTATGCTTTTAATTGAATTATTTGAGCAAATAATCTAATAAATGCTAAATTACGTGTTGATAACAAACACAAATGTGACCATCTTATAGATATATGTATTAAAATTATAAAATATCTGCATGGTCCACATAGTGGATGGATAGGTCCACATATATCCTCTTGAATATGTTCAAGAAAAGCAGGGAAATCAATTCTCACTTTTGTAATTGAAGGTCTTTTAATTATTTTTTCTTCAGAACAATCAACATATCAAAAATCCTTAAATTGAAGAATTTTTCAGTTCTTCAATGGATGTTCATGTAAATTTTAATAAATCTTCGCATCATCGTTAACCCAGGTTGGCCTAACCGGTCATGCCAAATGATAAAATGTATCTTAATTGATAAACTTCTTGTTGACTATTGCATTTATTTCAATTGAGTATAGTACAAACTAGAAGATAACATTGATAATTTCTTGATGACACTTTTCTTTCTAGATCTAAAATTTGTAATTTGTAGATATTCAACATCTTTCTCATTTGTAGTTTCAATAAGATACTTATTTTAACGAATATCTTTAAAACTTAATAAATTTATTTGAGAATTAGATGAATGTAATGCCTAATCTATAATAATTTTTATTCCTTCGGGTAATATTATAATTACTCTTTCGAAGTTATCAATTAATTTAGTATTACCTGTTATGGTATTAATGCTTTCGTCTCTTATTGTTAAATAGGTAAGTATTTTTTTAATTATGGTATGTGCTGTAGCACTATTCATGAGATATATATCTTCATTCTTAAGTCCAATGAAAGAAAGGGGAATATCCATATTCTTCAACAAAAGAAAAATTATATTAAAATATATACTTGATAAAATGAAACTTGTTCGAAGCAATAACACTTTTATTATAAGAAAATAAGAAAGCTGGATGGAAACATAATCCAAAAATATAATCTAAATTATTCTAATTATTTTTTAACCAAATTTGTTTAATCTTAATTTTCAAAGAAATTAGCCACCTTCAAGTGTGTCATAGCATTAAGGCCATTAATATCATCCAACTCATTAATATTATCATTTTTGTATGCAAAATTTGCCTCAACATAATCTTATTTTGAGAAGTAAAATTTGCTTCCACATTATTTGAATTCTTTTTTTATGGAGGCTTGATAAAGCTTTGTTAGATGCTCGGGTATGACAGGTACATTATTAATACCCCTTCATACACACCAATAACATTAATTTTCAACAATTTTTAAATGATCACTCTTATCTCTTTTTTGCTTTTCATTATTTTTTTTCTTTCAATGGACATTAGAATTATAATTAGTACCACCACCATCATGATAACGGTAATTAATACGTCCCCTGCCACAACCATGTTCGCATCTGCAACCACAGTAATTACTATGTATAGTCATATTTGCTTTAGGGAATGGAGTTGATCTAATGGAATGGATTTCATAATTTTTCATCAACAGCTCATTATTTTGTTTATCCACAAGAAGACATGAAATTAATTTAGAATACTTTTTAAGATTCTTTTCATGATATTGCTGCTACACAGAGAGAGAGAGAGAGAGAGAGAGAGAGAGAGAGAGAGAGAGAGAGAAATGATAAATAACCATAAATAGATTATAGAATATAATTCATAATAAAGCACAGTATAAAGAAGCACAAACATGAACAACCAAACTTACTATACAAATAAGACATAATAAAGATATAAAAAAAATGCAATAAAGCAAATAAGTTGATCAATGAATCAAACAATTCATATGATATTAACAAATGAAACAAAATCTATTAACAACATAAATTGATTAACACACACACACTCTCTCTCACATAAACAAACACAAAATGTATAATATGTATATATATGTAGTATTAATTTAATGAAGGACTAAAAAAATAAAGATTATTAAATACATAAACATAAAGAAAGAAAAATAAGTGTATCAATCTTCATGAAAATATATGGAACAACAAATAATAAAAATAAAGTAATGGATGGTAAATGAACAAAATGAAAAAAATATAAAATCACTTTGTAATTAAGAAAAGAAAATGATAAGAAAATAAAAGAATAAAATATAATGTAGTAAATATATAAACAACATAATTATGAATGTTAATAGAACAATAATAAAAAAAAATATATTATATATATATATATATATAATATAAGAAAATATTAACTTAGCTAAAAGCTCATACCTTATTTTTAGAGCTAATTCGTGCTAATAACGTGTTATAAAATATAGTTAATATGAAGAATAAAAAAGAACAAGACAATAAAAGAAATAAAGAAAAAATAATTGAGAAAAAAATTTTATTTACTAGTATATATATGCTTTGAACATGACTTTTATTTATAGGCCTTCAACCATTCAAATCCGATTTTAATGTTAAAAAGATATAAAGAAGCATATAATGGTGTATTATGTAACTTTTAAATATTATAAGCTATTAATAATAATAAACTCCTTCCATGACATTCATTAGGACACTAAGAATAAATGAATCTAGGAGTTATAAGTTATGGATATTCATACCATAATATTTATAATAATACCTTGATATTGTCAGCTGAAAAAATTTAATTTATTAATGCATTTTGGAAGAGACTGATTTTAAAGTTTGTAATCTTTTGTTATGTTGATTTTAAGCAACCAGGGTAACATAAAAACCCCTTGGAATATCATTCAATGACCCTCTTTAGCTCTGGATCCTTCCACCCAACTTTATAAAGTACAAGACCAATCTACTCTGACAAAACCATCTTTGAAACTCAATAGTGAATACCCTCTCCTCCTTTGCACATAGTTGATTGCTCCAAACAAATATATGCCCAAGCTATGCTCCATCATTTGGTGGGGACACTCACTTGTGGTTTGCTTCCTTGCTTTTGGTGATGATCTGACATTATTTTGAGCCGCTTCCTCTGCTGTTTTATTAGCAGTTGCAGATTTCGTTGTATCTGAGCATTAAAAAAATAAATAAATAAATAAAGTAACCCTGATGTAATTACGTTAAACAAGATTCGCAACCAAGTTATGCTGTATTGCGTTTAGTACCTCCAGTTGTTCGTGAAGACTCCTTTGGACCTCAAGCTGAAGTTGTAGTGATTCCTCAATCTGCTTATAGCTGGCACCAAGAAACATTTTACGTGTTAATTATGGTTGAAGAAATAAGACATGACAGAGGATTTACTGAGATTAAATTGAAAAATGTGGATAACATTTTAAGTTGAAGCTCGGAGACTCCTTCTGGTCCGTTTCCTTCTCCAGATTTTTCTGAAATACCAAAAGCCAAGCCGGTTACTGTTTAGCCCAAGAGAGTGAATACTGTCCAAAAATGCAAACTAAAATATCTAACCGATCTTGGACATTCACATTTAGCCTCCAATATACATAGGCCATATTTTAATTTCCAGAGTGTTTCATGTCTACACTCACCATCCAAACGAATGAAAAAGCTTACTTTCATTCAATTTTCTATTAGAGGAGGTCTAATGATGGGATTTGGGTTTGTATGAGGACACTTTTTCTCCATAAACCATCTTTGGAAGAAACTCTTTATTAAAACAGATCAAAATACAAAAGAAGATTGTATGTTTGACCGATATTTCATGCAGGATTATATGTATTTGGTTGAACGAGGTACTGCTGTAATATAAGCAAGTTGGACAGAAATATAGTTTACCCCGCAAATCTTTCCGCACGCATATTGTAGATCGATATTTCTGCAAGGCAAATAGAGACGGACAAGTAGTAGGTACGATTAACGAAGTTTCATAACAACATATGATTTGCTTAATATTAAGAATTTTAATCACCTGCAAATGACTTTTGATGTGAGAAATGGTCAGCATATCTGAATCCATCATCTTTAGTATGGACTTAGGCTTTGCCTCTACAATAATTAGGATCGAACGACACGATCACAAATCAAGACCTAAGCAACGTGTTGTTACACTAAACTATATTATGTCGTGTGTCAAGTAAACTTACTTTCAGGACCACCAAGGCAGTCAACAATCATGACGAAAGGCTCATGAAGATCCTTGGTCCATCTTATTCTTCTTTTACGAGTTAGAGAGCTCCTAGAAGTAGAAATAGAGTTGATCGAAGAGGGAAAACAAGCAACCCCACAAGCTCGTGAGCACCGCTGATCTGACTGAATATAGAAGGCCAGCGAATCATCACACATATTACAGATATACACTGTTAGATAAATGAATTCAAATCTAGTCCTAATTTTCCTTTTTATGCTAAACGATAGATTAACAAAGGTAAACTTCGACCTTATAACGAAATCAGAAAGTTTTAGTAATAAGTAAGAACCTGATCACTTCTCTGAAAGGAAATTTCGAAGGGCTTCACATCTGTAGCAGCAGCAGCATCATGAACCGGCAGTTCATTTTCTTGCGAATGCTCACGGAAAGACAATTTATCGCCAAGAAATTCCTTATATTTGTCTGAATCAGAAGGGAACCCAGTGTACATTTCAGAGAAAGAAAAGCTTTCTTCGCTGCTGGACAAGAAAGATTCAACAATGGAGTGCAAGGAGTTAGCGAAACTAAAACGAGAGGCTGATGGATCTTGTTTATCGGTGGCGGTGGGGTCAAACCCAGAAGATTTATGCCATGGAAGTGGCAAATCTATTTTCTCTAGGAGCTCATCGGAACAAAAACTAGTAGGAATATCAATCTGAGGTTCGTGTTGGTGATGAAAGCTCGTCCAGGCTGTGCTTCCACACAAGGCATCAGCTGATGTTGGAAGAGGAGACATAATGTTGAAGGACGATCTAATGGTTTCAAGACTCTGCTGTTCTGGTCCTCCTACGACATTGGATAGACTGTGAGTTCCTGCGTGGGATTCCCCTCGAGTGTCGAAGATCTGGGGATAACGATGCATCCTCCTCTCTCTCTAGATATGTTGCCTGTCTTCCTCTATATGCGAAAGTTTGCTACTTACTGCTAAAATTCAAATGCCGGCGTGTGTTTAAATGTGCTGTTATTTTCTTAATTTTCTCTGGTAAGCAGGATATAACTGCTGGAGATTAACATTCCAAAATATATGATTAAAATTTTATTAAATAAACTTATTTTAATATTATTATTTTTCTCTTCATATAATAATTAAGTAAAAATTTAAAGTTATTAATTATAGGGTATTTTTGAAAGTTAATATTTTTATTTTAAATATATAAAATTATTAAGTGTATTTAATAAAATATATTGATATGTAAGATTTTATTTAATAATATTTTATAATTCAATATGAAGAGAGTATAATAAAAAAAAATTAGTGGAGGTGAAGTAAAAGTGGCAATGTATGTTGACATGATTTCATCCACATACAATGTGAAATCCCTTTAAACCAGAGTTGTATGTCGACATGATTGAGTCCACATACAGTGTGAAATTTCTTTAGACCAAAAAGGGACTTGAATGTTCGAACTTCGGTGCATGTAGACAATAGTCCGAGAAGAAACATTTGTGTTTGACAAATTATATATATATATATATATATATATAATATCCCAACCAACCCTTTCCTGAAGAGAAACCAGTAAAATCAGTGATAGATGCGTCCTCGTTGGCTGGCTTTACAAATTCGAAAACGAAAGGCCGAAGAACAAGACGCAAGAATATTAATTTAAACAGCGGGATATGTAATTGAATTCCTGAATACAATGGCTGGATTCGTCTCTTCAAGACAGTAGATGCATTCTGGAAGATTTTATGGATTGGTGGAAGGTGAATGAATATCATCACTGCTATTTGAACTTGAGCAGATCGTATATTTAATTATTTATCAATTTCTGATGGAGCTCAGGCGTTAAATAAATCATCTTCATATATAGATTGGGGAATCTGAATTTAACAACAGTATCATCATATTGGAATTGGATACATCCATATGATTGAGAAAGAAGAAATGGTGTGCAATGAGGACAGAATATGTCAACATTATGAAGTAAGGAGCTTTGGACAATGTTGACCACAAGACACGGCTCAGAATAAGACCGTACATCATGGCGAGACGACACCAAAAGCCTTTTTCTTTTTTAATTATATTTGTCTGATAAGGTCATTTGATTGAAAGTGATTTTAGAAATATTTTCTGATTCATACGGAATTAGACTTCAAATTTCTTTAAATGGTCAAAACTCTTTTCACTGACATCAACTCCTTGTCAGCACACCAAAAGCCTCATATCCAACTCACCATAAACACATTGCGGGATATGTCTTCAAATTTAGGTCTGGACCCAAAAAACAAAACCAAAAAAAAAAAAAAACAAAATGACCCTGCGATGAAATTTGAGAGCATGCATGTCAGTCATCCGCTATCTATCCAGTTTTTTGAGGGGGAAAAAACAAAACAATGTTCGTTGTCGAGTTGTTTGGAGAAATAGATTTATTTATCTCATGAGAAGTTTCAAACCTCTCCAGGTTAGGCGTTGGCTTATTATTTTTTTTTTGTCCCCATTTTGGATGAGTATTTTTAGCTAAGTAAAAAAACTTTTATAATTTATGAACTGGAAACGTTAACGAAGACATTTTTATATTATGTCGGTGATATATATATATATATATATTATATAACTTCTCTTTAATTATTATATATACTTTTTCATCTCAGTCCTCTTTAGTAAAAATTTCTAGCTCCACCCCTACTTTATAGTAATTTATATATCTAAAATTGATTTTGATTCATTCTTCCAAACATTTTAATTTTATCAAAATAAATTTTAGAAAATAACATTTAAACATGATCACATTATAATATAATTAATTATAATCAAAATTAATCATAATAATTAATTTTTTTCAAATTAATTATACCTAATTGAAATCTAAACAAGCGCCTAGCAAGTCAGATGGGGTTGGGACATGGTCCTGCAAAGTTTAGGTGCCATATGTTGCTGATTAATATGAAATAATACACATTATAAAAAAAATATTAACTAATACATATACAAAAAAAATCAACTAATATAAAATATAACATTTTCCATGTACAATACTATTAATAAAAAGCACTAGTTAAGGAGAGAGTGAAATGTAAAACCTAAAAATGAATTGAATATGCTAGTTTAAGCTAATCGGTGTAAGTGATAGAAGCTGCCGTCGTTTAAGTAGTTGTGGAGAGATGTACTTGTAGCAACTTAATTAAGAGGGAAGGACTCAATATTTCATCATATTGATCCCAACTATTTACAAGGTTGTGAACTCATATTAATAGCCCAGTCAATGAATCATAAATATAAAAGATCTATAACAAAAATCACGATCCTAGTTGATTGACCCAACATCTTAATTATCTTCCGCAATTGGTTAGTGCCAAAGAGACCTAAGGTTCCTAACTTGCCCAATATTATCTCACGATCCTTTCTACTTGAAGGCTGAAGCCTTAATTAGTATATCTACTTGGTTTTTTTTTTTCGGTGAACTAGTATAACTACTGTTCATGGGAGGGTGCATGTTGTAATATTATTAAACCTCGCTGCTTTTCCTCCTTTATAAAATGGCAATCTGATCTATTTCAACATGTTTTGTTATTTCATGAAACATTGGGTCTATAGTGATATAGACTGCTGCTTTGCTATGTTTCATTTTTTTAATTTTTTGGGTTTTCTAATTGGTATATCTACTTGTCATTTTTTAGTTAGTATATCTACTTTTTTATTTTTGGCGAACTAGTATAACTACGTATTCATGGGAGGATACATGTTTCAATATTATTAAACGTCGCTGCTTTTCGTCCTTCATTAAGTGGCAACCTAATCTATTTCAACATGTCTTGTTATTTCATGGAACACCGGGTTTGTGGTGATATAGACTGCAGTTCTGCTATGTTTCATTTTTAAAATTTTTTGGTTTTCTAAGATATTCTCACAGCTAATAGCTATAAGACTAATCCTCAAAGAATTTGAGTCTCATTTAGTTTTTTTTTTTAAATTTTAAGCTCGGCCATTCAGCATTCAGCACCCTTTAAAAAAAAAATTTGGCCAAAAGCAAAAATAAAAGGTTTTATTTAAATAATCACATCTAGTCTTTGCCAGAGTGCAGTCGCGGGGGAATCCATTCCCTTACCCACTACCCTCGACGGCAGAAGACAGGAGATTAATGACATACTATTCGTTTTCCACCGAGAAAAACTTTTCAGAGACTTGGGATTATTTAACCAACAGGAATCCCTCAAGGGAATTGCATTGTAGCTGTGCTAAGAGAATCACGCATCTCATTGCTTTCCTAATATTTAGGAAGCAGAATATATCATTCTGGCCCTGTATATAAACTGCAGCTTGGATCTCAGTTAACCATCCCTTGAAAGCCCCATCTAACTACAAAACGCTCTACTTGCTAGTGTCATGGACATGTTTCTTGAGCAATACGAAAGTGTGATACAAGAATTCTGGTTTCTAAAGAGCACAATAATCTTATGTACTAAACTCAGAGTTTTCTCATGGAGGATTAATAACAGTATTTTTGTGCCATGGAGAATTTGCGCGGTGTGGTTTACATGCTGCTCACTAAAAGTAACCTTATTCAGTGAAGACCTACCAACATGGGTCTGGAGAGCTAACTTATCTTGGGAGGGAAGGAGGAATTTCCAGACCCTTCAGCAATTGAAACCCCAACCTCTTTATGACTAACTGATGAATCATCATTTCCTGTACTGCCCAAATTGGAGAAGCTATTACATGTTTTCTGCTGCTGATCAAACATCATCTTCAGCTGCTTTCCCTGCTCTTCAATTCGAAGCTGTAATCTTCTCTGAATCTGGGTACAGGGAGTGAATCAAGTAAACTGATCTAATCACATTATTACATTATCCGGTTGCTCCGAAGGACATGAAGACGCCGTTCAAAATAGAATTACTATTCTCATATAAATAGAGGATATTGTTAACACATACCTCTAGCTGTTCATGGAGACGCCTCTGAACATCTAGCTGTAGCTGAAGTGCCTCCCTGATTTGCAAGCCACTGCAATCCAAGAGAAGATTCTAGAGTGACAGAAGCTGATGCCTATATATAAAGAACCAAGCATCTTGATTGAATTATAAAACCATAACAAAGGATCAGGCAAAAGAAGAACTACGTTTTGACATCAACATGATGCACATCATCTATATGGGCTTTTTTGTCAGGCTTCCCTGCATCAGGAAACAAAGTGTTAGATCCAGCATGGGATGTAAACCTGCCAAATGGACAGAAAGTAAGAACAAAGTACATTTTAAAGAGCATGCAAGGAGACGGGAAAAGAAGTCAAAATAAAGTAAAGAGAATATTATTTATTAATTGAATTTTCTTTTTTGAATGTAAGAAAAGCATTTACAAAGGCCACAGACGGCTACATGTGTCTCTGGAATGTTATTCTAGCTTTATTCCCCTCCACCTCTCTAACACAGCAAGATGGAGGATGGTAAGAGAACAACATTAGCAATGCTAATCCCAATCCCACTACTTATATGTGATTATTGTTAGTTTAAGGTTTTTTTTCACCTGAAGGGGAAAGCAGACTCTGTTCTTCGTTTAATAGCTCAGACTTTTCACCATTTTGATGGATATAAACGTATTTTTTTCTGCATTGCAACTCCCTATATAAGTAATTTCAGCGAGGAAAAAAGTGAGGTTGTTATTTTCTCCTTGCACTACTTCTAGTCTCATAAGAAATAAGAAATTAGCAATTGTGAATTGTTAATTTTATTTACCAGCTCAACAATGAGTTAGGAATCATAAACTAGGAATAAAGTAAAGCTCATGCTCTGCGGTTACAAGAATAACTCTTAACCACAAAATAGTAGCTCAAGATTTATGAAAATTCAAACATAAAAAGATGTCCTTGACATCATAAAGAGAGAAAAAGAAACTGCACTGCAATTTGATGAGAATTTTACCTTGAGCTGGGTCTGGCATGTATTTTGCAATTCTATATTTCTGCAAGACAGGTGAAGGAAAAAAAATGTCTCTTTAGGAGGTCTGGAAAGAAGACACCAACCATCATGATGAGGAAACATAAAACTCTAAGAACATGCCAAACCTGCAAATGACTCTTTACATGGAAGACGGTCAGCCCATCCGTGTCCATCAGCTTCAATATAGCTTTTGGTGTAGCCTCTACAGTCAAGCAGCCAAGAGGGCTCTCAGATAGTCAGATGTTGACAGTTATTCTTATTTCTTCACAATAATTTAAAATTAACAAGTTACTCACTCTCAGCACCCCCAAGGCGATTCACGCATTCAACGAACTTCTCATGAAGATCCTGAGTCCATCTTATACGTGATTTACTTGAGATTACTGCCCCACCACTAGAAGTAGGATTTCCAGTAGAGGTAACACTGGCTGCTAAAACTGTTGGAGACAGCTTCTCTTGTGGTGAAGAGAAGCCTACATGAGAAACTGGTAAATTATATGAACCACAACCAACCTGCTGAAGAATGGTGCAGTAAACATAAGATAAGTCAATCTGCAAGGAAAGGACACTGAACTGACCAAGAGATACTTACTGCATGGTTTATCCCGACTGAGGAAGAATCATCATCAATGAACAACTTGTGCTGTTGAACTGGAAGAAACTTGCCTGTTGGCAAATTTCCACATGGAGTTTTGTTGGGATTTTCAGGGTCGAATTGGGGTCTCACCACTGCCTGCAAGGTGTTTGCTAATTCGACGTTGAGATTAGCTTGGTGTGGCGAATGATCCAACATAGTGTTTTCCCTGGGAGATTGATACAAAGGGAGTTCCAAATCGTGAATCCTAGAAAATGGAGAGCTCGAAGAGGGATTGTACATGTTAACTTGGGAATGATACTGCGGAAACCCCATGCATCGTTCTGTTGCATAAAAAGCAGAAGAGGGGGATTCAAAACCGCCCATAATGGTGGTAGATGATTTTGCAGAGCCCATGTATGGTGACTCTTCACCTCCTCCCCCACCAATATTCCAAGCCTGTTTGACATTGAAATATTGACGAGAACGATGGCCAAACTCAGAATTTAAATCCCCATTTAGTCCACGCCTCTGTTGAATCTTCCCTTGCCAATCAAATATGTTCTCGTTCATTTACAAGAAATCACAGAATACGAGCCAGATGGAAGAGGAAGAAGAAGATTGGGAAGGCAACAACGATAATAATAAATTTTTCCTAAGACATGAAATTCTCTCTTATATTCCGAAAGGGTTGAGCTACAAGAATTGAATCTGAATGTCAAAATCCTACCTTGCAAGGCCCTTAATTATCAGTTAATTATTCTTAAAAAGTATAGGAACGAACCATAAGCAATTGAAAAAACCGAAGTACAGAACACGGAAAAGAACAAAGCTCCCCCCAAAAAAGTATTATATTTTCTCCCTTGTTGTCTTCACGTGAATTTTGACGATATGCAAAAGAATAAGAGGGAAGAGGAAAACCAAAGCGACCAGGATAAGAGACTCGGGCTAGGGGTAGGGGATAAAAACTCTTGAACTATGACTGATCATCTAAATGTTAGCGAATATTGTTTTAATTTTGGCCGTTGGGCATCTATGTATTGTAATAAACAAATGTTAGATAAGATAATGGCATAAATTCACACAATAGATCTGCAATTATTCTTATAAATGGCTTCGGAAGAAAATACTTCCGCAATCCACACAGATGATAACTGCATTTTGCTTAGTGGAAATTGGAAATTACCAGAAAAGCGCATCCAATATTTTATTCATGTTGAAAGCACGGTGGAACTTTAACTACAGATTCTCAATGAACTTGATGGACTTTCCATTTCCAAAAGGTAAGAAGATCGAGTCATATTTAACAAATTCATACACCATCTCACTTCTTTCGTGCCTTTGATTTTGATTTTTCTTTTTCTTTAAGAGATATTTTTTTTTTAATAAGCATTCTTTAGACATATTTATTACCTCCTTTTCTTTTCTTTTATACCATCTCATTTCCACGAAGAGACCTTTCTTTTCAACTCCTTTTTTTAACTTCTTGTCTCACTTAATTCCAATGACACTTTCTATGTAATAGAGTCTTTTCTTTTTTTATCACGGATATTTGGACTTTTCTTTTCTTGTCCGAGTTCAATGAAGCTTTCAAATAAAAAATATTAATGATAAAAAAAAAACAAAGCAAATGGAATGCTAGATGCAAGAAGCAACCACAATTTACTTGGAAGAAAAAGGTTCTAAACTAATTAATAAATTAAGTAATTTAGATCCATTGCTTATGGTGTCATCTTTTCTTTACCAGCAGGCATGTCATTTAAGTTTAGATCCTAAATTAATAAATATACCCCACTGAACAAATATTTAATAGTATAGGTCCTAGGGGAAGGGCAGCACTTAAGTTTATGAGTTATTTATCTTTATTTTATATTAATTGTTAAATTTAATTTTATTTAATGTAGGACTTTGACAAGTGGTTTATAACTCAACGTGAAAAAGGTGTCAAGAAAACATAAACCGGGCGTGAGAAAACAAGAAAAGAGAAACACTATTGATGGGGCTGGTTAATGTTGAAACCAAAAAAAAAAATGCATTGGAAAGTCCCGGATTCAGATTAGATAACCTTAGCGAGAGTGGATGGGCATGGTGAATTTGATTGGGATGATAAATATATTATTACATCAAGACACGCAATTAAAACTAATTAATTTTTACAGCAGCCCCAAAATGTCATAAATCAGAAGCGGTGGAATCAAATTGATGGGTCTGTATTCTGTAGCTAGCTAGCGTTGAAGTTGCAGGAGAGTGGAAAGCAAGATTCCTCAGTGTTCGGCCTTGTGAACCTGACAAAAAGGAATAACCTACGTGGATGATATGTAGGGCCCTAAAGTTAGTCAAAAAAGTTCGCAACCTTTGTGTTCTTGAAAAAAAGGAAAGAAAACCTTCAGGCTTCAGTAGTATATATTAGCAAGCATTTATTCAGAATTTTAATGCTGGAAATTAAATCCTAAATATAGTGTCCATAGGGCTCCCAAAAAAATGATACATCACTCTCCTATTCCTTCAGGGATGTGAGAATCGTATTCCATGTCTGTATCAGATGAAAATCGAAGGGCCAGAAAGCGAAAACACTAGGCTAGGGCATATGCCCCATAAGACAACACCAAGGGAGCACGTAGGTGACTAATTTCATGGCTCACTATCCTCCCAAAACATTCCTCTTGATATTTAGAAATAGTATGATAGCGTCCATTTAAAATCTGGGATGCGCAAGTTAAGAGGTGTGGCATGTAGAGTGTAAAGGGCAAATATTCGATGCTCTGCTTCGGTTTTTTAGATCAGATTTGACGGATTTAAATTTCATAATTGTAACTGTACTTAATATAAATATTGAGTGTTTATATTATCTAAACTATTAAAATTTAGATTAATAATTTTAAATTTATGCCCCACTTGAGATTAATAAATGAGTGAGTTTATGTGAATCATTGTTAGATTTTTTATATTAAGTATGCTTAAGGACAATATACTACACTAAAATAGTTTAAGCATTTGATTAGATATTTTTTAAGCGTTATATGTTATGATTCATTTTTTAATCTTTTATAGATGAGACTTCTTTTTACATTTTAATATTTCTCTACTACCTTTTTTCTCTCTATTTTTTTAGTTTTTCTTTTCTTTTGTTTGGGCTTGTACTTTTTTTACTCTCAAAGGCTTTAGGTCTATTTAATTTTTTTTTTTCCTTTTCTTCTTCTTCTTCTTCTCTCTTTTCTTTTCTTTTTCTTTTTTTTTTAGCTTCTTGTTGTATTTTTTTTTCATCTTTCATTTTTTTCCTTTTTTTCTTTCTTTTTTTTTTGTCATCCAATAGAATGGCTCATAATACTATATTAAACTTTTTTATATTAAGTACGCTTAAAAATAGTATACTCTATTAAAATAGCTTAAGTCATTTGATTAGATATTTTTTAAACTTTATATATCATGATTAATTTTTTTAATCTTTTAGATGTAAGATTTCTTTTTATACTCTAATAATCATTAATATGGATTTTAGCCACTCAGATAATATAAGTATTTAATATCTACAGTTATCGAATTCAAATATCAGATTCACCAACACGAGGGCCGGTTTCCACCTTCGTTTGCCAACCCCCCCCCCCCCGGTGCACGTCGCCAAGTTATGGACTTCATATATGTACACGCACATGTACATTAATTCTTTCTGACAGATATGCCTTGCCACTCCCACTTGTATTTATAATCATCATAACAGTTACAGATCGAAGAGAGAAGAGGTGAAGTTAAACGAGTAATTTTAGATATGTTCATACCTGGAGTAGATTGATGATAGATATCAGAACCTTGAAATTGGCTTTTTAATTCTTATAATTTTGCGTAACGTTTGTTTTTCCTAAATTGTAAAATCAAGGAGGCCAACACTACATTTTTATTTGAATCTGGAAATTTACGATGTTAATGCGATGTCATGTCTAAATTATTACCCATTTCCGTAAAAACGATATGGGAACTTGGTATTATTATATATATTTCCAATTAAAATAGGGGCTAAATTTCAAATTACAGAAATTGTGGGGGCAAGAATTAATTTTATCTTTTTTACAAGAGAAAGTTGCACTATTACAAAGGGAAGTTGAAGCGGGGGGTGCCAGTCTTACCACCACCCTCTGGATCTGTCAATGGGCTAAAAATAAATTGCATTAACTGAAAAAAAAAGTATTTTAACTTAGATTAATGTGAATAATAAGAGCCCTTGTTACTTAAAAAATGAATCAAAAATTTAAATTGTGATCGTTGTATATATAGCAAATTAGTTTAAAGAACATTTTTTTTGTTCTCAGTGTCTAGAGGAGATTATTTTCTATCTTTGACAGAATATACCCCTTTTTTTTAAAGCATTAACTAGATTATAAAATACAATGCACATACTATGAAAAAACATATATTAATTATTGCATAGATATTATTTTATTGTTCCGATTATTTATCTGTGTGTATATATTTTGAAAGCATCGATATAAACGTTAAAAGAGCAATAGCGCAGCATGACAACAAGAATGAATATAAAATGTTCAAAACAACAACGGGTGAAGATTCAGGGAAGGAGACTGTGGTTATCCACAACACCAAATTTCATTAGGTTAAAGAAATTAGACAGCTGCATCTTAATTAGTGGGAATCTACAAGGTAACACAATCTGACCCCTACAACCTCCAAAGGGTCGTTGATCTCACATACGACTCCTCGTGGCCTCGCTTCCCTTCTCTTATACATATCCATAAATATAAAATTAATGGATATGATCGAAGAAGATATATATATATATATAGTATTAATTAAGCCATACAATATCAAATGATTATCGAGGAATTAAATAATATAGCTGCGAAAGACATTGACACTACAACAGCAGCTAATAAAGTTAAAGGCGTGTCACAAATTATGAACCATTATATAGTGGAATTACTCCATGAAACAGGAAACAAATTCAAGGGCCGTCCGCGGAACCAAGTTCCAAGTCGACTGCTAAAGTCCAGACCAAATCACAGAAAAACATTGGCTCTACAGCCACTTGCAATCAAAGATGCATTGTGAAATACGTGGTACGTGTTCCTGTGTGTGCACTTGTGAATATTTATTTAGTTCTAACAGAACTTTTCTTATTTTATTTATAAATTATTTTTAATATATTTTACTAAAATAATTAACTATGTCTTAAAGTTTAATAAATTATCAATTTTATCCCTATTAAATATACATATTTTAATAACATATTTTCTCTATTTAACATTGAATTGAGTATAAAAAGAAAAAATTATGTTAAAAATTTAGTAAAATAACTTATAAATAGAATAAAAAATCCTCTCAAATAAGAGAGAGTACATGTTTATATTATGATTGATATATATATATATATATATATATATAACACATCAATGTTGACTTTCATGTTGAATCCATCTACATGGACCGAAAACCACAGAATTTTGTATGAAAGCAAAACAGCTATGCCTGGACCATAAATCAACTCAAGGGACCATAATAATTAAGTACTCCCTTCGATTCTATTTATAAGATATTTTTTAAAAATAACTTTTACTCTAAAATATAGGATAATTTATAATAATTAAATTATTTTTTTAATTTTACTCTTCTTGATTAATGTAAAGATATTTAATATGATTGTATTATGATTTAAAACCAAAAGTAAAAATAAAAATACATCTCACTTTTTTATGATATCAAGAAAAAATTATTTTTTTAAAATCTATAAAATAATTAAAAATATTTTATAATAAAGATCGAAAGATATAGTTAAAAAGTTGTTAGGAATATTGACTTTAATGACGCTTTTTACTAACAAACCCCTTCAAGCGTTGTACTGTACGCGTGTGCTGACTTAGACGTATGTGCACCATTTATGTATAGGAATTGAGGTTGAT